TGTGTGCTGCTCTTTTAATCTAGTGTTACCATTGGCTTAGACCCTTGTCTCCCTGCTGTCACTGACTTTTTATGTTGTATGTCACAAAGCAGTGCAGCAGGCAGAACCCTCTGACAATGGGCAGAAGAGGGTAAACAACCTGATCGACTGTGTGACACACTCCACTTTCATTTACATCAGTTGTGGCCATTTGAAAGAGACAAGCTTACGGGCCCAGACCAATTAGCTTTCCAGGTGCCATCTGACTGTTACTTAGACACCTTTGTGTGTTTAGGGATGAGTCAGGGTGTGTGCTCATGCACATGCCCACTTAAGTCATGATCTCTTTCCCCCACAACCCTTCGCTGCATAAGTCATTGGCTATGTAAAGGTAACTTTAAAGGTGTGCAGGGACCCGATCTGCTGTGGAGTGTGAGGAGAGGGGCTGCCATAGAGAGCTCTCCTCCTCTCTTCCCACTGAGGACAGGAGAGACTGAATGGGTTTGTACATTCCAGCTAGGATCCCATACTGGTGCTTAAACTGCTTATTCCAAAGTCCAGCTATACTGGGCTTCTGGAGAGTTGGCCTGCGGTCCATTAGTGTCACCCTAAGTCTGAGATACTCCGTGGGGGCTAAGTGTGCTATTTCCACAGAACCTCAAGCCATGCAAAAAGGCTTTCTTAAAGACACAAAAACAGTATCATCCCTAGCAAGCTCCCCCAGTGCAGAGTTGATTTTCTCACTAACCATCCTGGGAGCAAAATGTGGAACCTGGATTCCTTTCTGAAATTATACACTGAGTCATCCAAGGCTGCCATGGTTTTCACACAGGCAACCCAGTGGGGGAGGAGAAAGTAAATAAAGACGTGTTAGTTACACCTCCTACCACAAGAACTGGGGTCACCAAATGAAATGAAAAGGCAGCAGGTTGAAAATTAAAAAAAGGAAATATTTCTTCACACAACACAAAGTCAACCTGTGGAATTCCTTGCCAGAGGATTTTGTAAAGGCCAAGATTATAACAATGTTAAAAAAAGACCTAGATAAGTTCATGAAGGATGGCTATTAGCCGGGATGGGCAGGGATGGTGTCCTTAGCCTCTGTTTGCCAGGAGCTGGGAATGGGTGGCATGGGAGGGATCACTTGATGATTCCCTTTTCTGTGCATTCCCTCTGGGGCACCAGGCACTGGCCACTGTCAGAAGACAGGATACTGCGCTAGATGGACCTTTGGTCTGGCCCAGTGTGGGCATTCTTATAAAGAGAGGGAAGAGGTCAGTGTAATGTTCTCTGATTTGCTATAAAATGCTACTTTCCCCTTCTTGCACCACTGGACATTTCTCTGAGTATGTCTTTGCTTCTCAACCCAGCCATTGCTGTCATAGGTTCACAGAGGGAATTGTACGATGGGCACCCCTCCCTATAAGCTACACATTCCTTTTGTCAAAACAACAAATGGGGATGGAGGAGAAGGGCCCAGGGCTGGCTTGGCTATTAGCTGGCAGGTCCTGGAGGAAGGTGGTAACTTTGGGAGAGGGGTTGGTTTGGCTTGCTGAACATGTGTTGTGCGGAAGGAGGAGGTTGAATCAGCGCTTAATTTGGGTCAGAGCTTGCCAGGGCTAAGCCCAGGTACTTCTGGGCTTGCTGTATCATTTATTACTGTTAAAAATATTGCTTGAACTCTAGCACCTAATTGCTTGAGCTCTGCACCTCTTTCATTACCAGGTACGCACTGGATTGAATCCCATGTGGAGCAGAGAAAAGAGGCTGTGAAAGCTGGTATTCAGTCTGCTAATATTTGCCAAATTCAAATAGCAGTCTTGTAGCTGTGTCTTACTGCAACTCCTTCCAGATCCCCTGTAGTCACATGTAAGTCTGTCACACTGGGAGATGTATTATAGGATTGTTCCTGCAAAGTACCAACCACCTTCTCCTCTCTTTGAGGGTGCTCAGCCCTTTGCAAGATAGAGCTCTGTGTTTCTTTTAATTCTTTAAAAAAAGGGGGGGGGGAAGGACCTGCTGCTAAAAAGTAAAGCATGTGTGCCTAAAAATTAACTGGAGCAGAATAAAACTTCATTATCAGAAATGCTAACTGTTAGAACACGTCTCGCATTAAATCAGAGGTCTCTACTGGGAGTTCCTCTGGATCATTTGATCAAATTAAGCTCCTAAAATATGGTTCAAAAATGTCATCCCGGTGTAGGAGATAAAAGACAAGAATAGGGCAAGGAAATTACTGAAAATTTGGGAAAATGAAATGTTGACTCATGTATTTTGACATAATGTAGAAATCAGGAGGTTTGCCAGACAGATCAGCTTCAGATGCTGCTTATGCAATGTTTGATTTGCACAGCTGCATTGTAGATTACCCACCACCCTGAGCACGAGCGGCTGGACTTGGGGTAGGCAGCCCTACAGGACACAGGGAATCCTCTCTCCAGACCCTTCAGCAGCAGCAGAGTTGCTGTGCAGTGTCTATTGCAGCCTCAGGGCTTTAGTAGCCTTTGCTCTGATTAACTCTCTCCTTATGCTGGTACCACCCACCTGTAAATAAACTTGGATCCACTGGCTCCTCCACAACATCTGTATCAAAACCCAGCCAGTAGCCATGCAGAGAGGTCCCTGAAGCTGAACTGCAGAACACTGCTGAGCAGATGCCTTCCTTTCTGCTTCCACCTTTCTAAAAAGCCTCTGACTCCCATGATTGATTAATAGCTAAACAAAAAATAGTTAACCTAAAGCACACGCCTAGCTTCCTGTCATTCCCATCCAATGCCACAGTCTGCATTTCAGCATTTTCTCTGGCTGTTTTCCACTGTCTCATGCCAGTTAGTTTCACAGCGTGGGAATGGTGCCCATACATGCCTCGTGTGCCAAGATTTGCCCATTCCCTGTGCTTCTCCCATCTTGCAGAGGTCTGTGAAAAGGCTCTGGACATATAAGAGCTACTTTAATCAAACAAGTGGTCAGGAGGAAGAAGAAAGCAGGAGGAAGGTTGAGGCAAGAGGAGGGACTGAAAGGAAAGAAATGGAAGATGGACAGATAATTTAACCATGAGAGTAATTAACCACTGGAACCATTTACTGAGGTCTCTGGTGGATTCTCTGTTGCTGACTATTTAAAAATCAAGATGAGATGTTTTTCAAAAACATCTGCTCTAGGAACTATTTTGGGGAAATTCTATGGCCCGTTCTGTACAGGAAGTCAGACTAGATGATGTTGGCCTTGTTATCTATGGGTATGTCTTTACTACTGGTGGATCAATGCTATGGTTGTCGATCAATTGGGGTGGATTTTGTGGGTCTACGGAAGACCCAGTAAATCCATCGCCAAACACATTCCCACTGACTCTAGTATGCCACCGAATGAAAAGCTTAAAGTAAGTCAATAGGAGAGTTTCTTCTATCAACCCAGCAAAGTGTAGATATTGCATTAAGTTGACCTAAGGTACATCAACTTCAGCTACGTTATTTATGTATCTGGAGGTGTATAACTTAGGTGGACTTTATGTCATAGTACAGACCTGCCCTATGATCCAGAAGTGGAGAGGGAGGGGAAGAAAGTGAGGAAAGAGGAATGGGACAGAGATTAGATGATTAAGAAATTTAGGTTTCAAGTGTCATTCTGCTTTGAAAAGTAATTCAAATGGGCACCAGCTGTCTCAGCAGATCTGCTCCATGAATGCATTATGTCACATCTGCTGGTCGTGCATATTCCTTTTCTTTTTTTTTTTTTACCACTAGTACAGAATAACCACAAATTGGGCTCAACTGCACAATTAAGTGTCAAATGTGGAGCCACTGCTTTCAGTGAGGTGGCATAGGTGTAACTAAGGAAGGGATCTGGCCTACAGAATCATTAGTACTGGCAACAAAATAGGAAGGAAGGAACCCTGCTTGGCTTTAAGATTCCAAGTTGAGTTTGCTGAGCTGGCAGTTAGGGAAAAAATATATTTTTAGTGTAAACTGCCACAATTTGAGCTGAAGTCATTGTGTTATGCTAACCATAGAATCTTATGTGATGACTTTTGTACACTGTTGAATTTTTGCGTCATATTTTAATGTTGACAATAAAGATAATCAGCTTTTTGCATCACTGCAAGATGACATTGCATCATGCAATATTGTTCCTTGGTAACAACTATGTACTCTAATGCAGGATCTTGATAGTAATATTGTTTGCTATATGAATGCAAGCTAGAACACACAAAACTATAAACTAAATCACGTCCTTTCCATCATCTACGGCTCCTAAAACTTTCTGACTCTAGAGCCTCATATTTCCTTACTCCACCTGTGTTCTGTACCTTTGAATACATGGTCCTCTACTACAGCAAGAAATAATTAAAGGCAATAACAGCACTTTTCTGTCTCCATTTTATCTCTAAATCTGTGGAGGTGCAAACAAAACACATTGGCTGGGAGAGACTACTAATGCTGATGAGTGTTTAAATGGCTTGATAATCTTTTTTTTCCCCCTGTAGGCTATCACTGAATGGAACTCAAATACATGCATGTTAGGGGTAGGAACAGATGGCACTTCTGTTATGTGAACAAGAAATGAGGTGAGAGGGCAGCAAAGTTGAAAAAAAAAAAGACCTCCCTCCCTGACTTACCAGAGTTCATTGTGCTGCCCTCCTGTTGCAGTTGACTGTGACTCTTTATTATCATAAAGATATGTCAGAAGTTAGACAGAGTGCCAGATGATAACCTTAAATCCTTTAGTGCATTTTACCAGGTTTATAAAAAAAAATAAAAAAAAATAAAACCTGACTAAGGGAGGTGGGAAATATGTCAGTGAGGTACTACACAAAGAGCTCAATACATTTGTTGACCTCCTCCCCTTCACTCCTTTAAGGAGGATTTAGTTGCAGTCATCATAATATCGTGGGTGCTTTCTTAAAAATAATTTAGATGCTATTGTCTGTCTGCCACTTAAAAAATGTAGCAAAAAGAGGGATTTATTGAAATGCCTCAAAAATGCATCAGACTGTCAAACATATTACTTGCCAGCTGAACTGCATCTTATTCCTGTCTCTCCAGCCCCGGCTTCATTTTTTAGAAATATTTTTGTCTTCTCCGTAACAGTCGCTTTTCTTTCTTACCTCCCATTTTGCAAATGGCATCTGCAGAGTTAGATTTGAGGGTTGAAATGAGAAAGCAGTGTTTTGAAGTGACTAATTTGCAAGCAAGAAATAAAGCCCTTGTAAGGTGGTCCCGGGAGGATGGGGGGGGGGGGAATGTCATCTCCATGAACACTCTTTGATGCTACATGTAATCTGGTGCATTTCAAAGACAAAACATTTCCTATTTTCAAGTATCTATGTGAGCCAGGGTTGGTTTACCAGTTTCCGGAGAATAATGATCTCCACCAGGGGCAGGGACACACCCTCCCTCCCGCTCCCCCCCAAAAACATTCCTGTTCTGTTAGAAAGGGGCAATTGCAGTCAATGGTTTATTTGCCACATTTTTTGCTGTTCCGGTGGCAGTGGTGGCTATTAACACTTAGCTGAAATGTTTCCTCAGTAAATTCCAAATGTTGGCAAGCGACATGTTCTTCCACAAGACATTTAAATGCTATAATGGATTTGTGTTTACTTTTCATTTCTATAAAAGTAGTTGCCAAAAGCTGACAATGATCTAACCTTAGGTGGTTCAGATTCAGATTTGATAGCCATCCAAAAATGTGGTTGCTTATCCAGTCCTTTCAGCTCTGGAAATTTAAGATGACATTCCAGTGTTATTTGGTTTCAACTGAGCCAAGAACACCAAAAAACATTGTTTCTCCTGTGGTCTCCTATAAAAAAAAGCAAACAGATAGGAGTGAAAAATTAATAGAGTTAAATGTTTTGAACCTTAAAAGGTTTGAGGGTTGATTCATCTTTTGTATGAATGTTCAGGTTGGGTTTTGTTTGATTCAAATGGACTTACCGAGCTGCTACCTTTTGTCCACTTATTTACAGTGAATCAAGTCAACTGCAGTAATGAAGACTTCTATATTTAAATCATTATTTAATGGTACTCAGACTGCATGTTTTTAAAAACTTCTGGTCATGAATTGGGTCCTAAGTTCTTATACATGTAAATAGCTGTAGGTGTTATATGGGGAATTATTCAGTTAATTATATGGTTCATCTTGCAGCTTTTATTTATGAATAGGGAAATTGATTATTGTGAACTTGACTTCTCACTCAGAGTTAATATTGACCACACCTAAAAGAGCCTACTGGATTTTCACTCCAGTTCTGCATGGAGTGCAATTAACATGCAGTATGCTCCCAGGAACTTGGGTAGGCTTGCAAGAAAGATCAGAAACATTGTTTAAAACCCCCTCAAATCTGTGCAAATAATTTGGGACTTTTTGCTGATCAGAATACACATGGATACAGTCAAATGTGACTGGTGTGTTTGGGTTTCTTTTTGTAGTTGTTGTTTTGCTCTCTAGGCAATGTATTTTAGGGATGAATTCTGTGGTTTGAATAGAGATACTGTAGAGTCTACAAAATGAAGGGAAAAAGTGGTGAAATCAGAATGGCCAAAGAAAGAGAAGTTTTCACAAACATGAAAAACAAAAAGTTCCTTCCAGAAGCTGATTATGATGTGAGCCATGAGACCTGATCAGAGAAAGTATGGTGGTAGGTTGGCTTACTAACCTGAACACTCCCCCTTCTCCCACATTCACAGTGAGCCCTAAACATCTTGTATTTGAATTTCTAACAAATAAGAGACATGATAAAATACTATGAGGAGCAGTTGGTTTTTCTACAGGCTTTACATACTGGTTTTCCTGAAGCTTCATAATTTGCAACACTTAATTTATTATAGGAACTTCGCTGAAGAAAAATTTGGGACCAAATCTGTAGGGAGGCATAAAACTGAGTTTGCAAAATAGTTTCAAGAAAGCCATCCTGCTTGCCTGACAATTTTAATTTTATTTTTCTGGAATTGACCCATTGACAGCCATTGAATCCTTAGCTATGTCCAAGCCAAACATGTCAGTTAATGTTACACTAACATACTTTCTACTGAATTGGAATGAAACTCTTACTTGTTCACATTTATACAATAAGCCATTGTAATTAATGCTATTACAATTAATACTGCCAGAGAAATAAATAAGGAATCACCATTATTGTTGATTACTGTCACATATTAATGCATGAAATATGACATTTGGAAAACATACTCCTTTATGACAATTGTTGTAGTGGTTGGCTCACGCAGTGTACAATGCAATTGCTGGTGCTCACTAGTGAAAAAAATAAAGGTCCTGCTTCTATTTTGATTAGATAAATGCAAGTCAATAATTTTGCATGAGGAGAATTTGACACAGATACTTGGATACGAGACAAATGTGTTCATCACTACTCATCCTTCCTTGTTCCACTACCTCTGACTCTCCCCCTTTCTCTGCCCCGCCCCTCTGAGAATTAGTTGATTATTCTCCTTCTGGATTGCCTCTTATTGTATCTGCAATTTTATATTGTAAGAAGCACATAAGGAATAAAATATATTTGTCCAGCTGATGGAATGAAACTATATTTTGGAAAGCTTTTTTGTTGTTCCTGTTTCATTTTCTTTTCAGTTTAGTCACTTTTCTAATGTGTACCATTTAAATGCTCTATGTACAGTACATGATTCTTTTAACTATTTTAATTATTTGGGTTGAAGTGATATTATATATTGTTCTGTTTAGGGAGCAAGCATGAATTTACCACTGACGCCAGAAAACTTCACAATGTACCTCTGGGTCAAGGACAGGAAGCGGTAGCAGAAATATCTATGGTAAAAGCATCAAAAGAAGGCCACTGGGTTATACTTCAAGTAAGTCAAAGCTCTTCATTACAACAGCGCTGCATTGCAGTGTTAAAATCTGAAGATTTTCAAAATAATGTGTCTAGATAAAACAGCACTAAATAATGATTACAAACTTCCTTTGTCTCTTCCAAAAGAGAGACTCATAATTTCATATCGAGGTATGAGTATTAATGGGTCATTTAATTTCAGATAAAATGTGAACTCCCTCTATCTTGTGTGGTAGGGAGTTGACTAAAGTATTTTACCAAACACATGCTATTTGATTTACTAATTTATTATCCATTTTAAAAAATCCTTTAGTAAATAAATGTGTAGCAAAAAGAATTGTTACTCTATATAATCAGATGAATAGATACAAACAGGGAAGATTGCTGTCATTATGCAGTATATTGTGCTAAACAGATGCACATGATTTTTTTCAAATATTGTGCAATATCAAACTGCTTCCTTATGCCTGGGATTTACTTGTATCAATAAAATGTTTCATATTTCAAATCAATAGCTCACTGGGAAGCCTATTTCTCTCTCTTACCTTCCCATCCTCTTGCCCAGAATTTTCATCCTGTAGCAAAGTTGCTTGATACATTAGAGGAATTACTGGAGAAATTCAGTAAAGGGAGTCACCTAAACTATTGGTTTTATGAATGATGAACCTGCTCTTTCGCCTAAAAAATCATATAATTCTACAGGGGATTTTGGAAAACTCGATTAAAATAACCATTGCTGCCCATTGGAATCTTCATGCTGAAGTGGATAATTTTGATAGGCAAGTAAAACATCATAGGAGTTATAAAATACAAAAATTAGAATGTTTAAATTTATCATTTTAAAGCCATTTAAAATTGAAAACTCACTGACAGCTATGTCAGGCTATGAGATAATAAAACAGAATAAACTTCATTTCATAGAGATCCATTCACAAAATTATTTTATAGTGGTGTAACTGCACATCAAAAAAGAAATGTGATCCTCTCATTCTGGAGCATGAAAAATAGCTTCTGATTACACATATTCCTGTGTGCATGGGAAACCGAGTTTGCAGACGTTACAGATAATTATTGTAGTGTAGAAATGAGAAATTATTTTGCTTTAGTTTCATTTTGTTCTGTAATTTGTGAGAACATGAATTTTTGCACCCCATGTCATTGAGTATATTATACTACCACCACATGTTATTCACTGGCGTCAGATCTTCAGCTGGTGTAAATCAATGGACCCTATTGAAATCAGTGGGGCTATGCCAATTTACACTAGCTAAGCATGTAGACCTAAGTGCTTTGATCATGTGTAATATGAAACATCTCTTTGGTGGTACTAGATCATCATCATTTTTCTCTCAACTTGTTACCATTTTATAGAATGTGTTTTTAATTAAAATACTTTCATTGATATTTAAAAGATACACAAACACTGATGTAGTTAATAATTGCAAGCAGCGTTGCACAGACACAGTCACAGAAATCAATTAGCTCTTTAACATGAATAGTCACATTAAAGGGAGAACATTAACTTTGATTTTTTTTGGAGAAATTGCCTAATTGAAAAAAAAAATCTATTTTCTGATCATTCACATCTTAAACAGCATGGTCTGAAAATCGTCTTTAAAATCCCTTCAGCAGTTGCAGAGGCTTTTTTGTTCCCCTGTTGATGTTTATAGGAGTCTTGTAGGAAGAAAGAAACAGGTAGCTGACTGTACAGTGGAAACAATGACACAAAAAGTGCTGCCAAATGCACAAAGTAAACAAGCTACAACTACTTCTGTCATTAATTTCTGTAAGTTTTAGTCATCTGCAGCATTACTGATAATTGTAGGAGGTACAAAATCTTCACACAGGTATATGCTTTTCAAATTTATGGTGTCTCTTGAATAATCTCTCTCTGATCTTTCAGAACATGCTTGATCAATGTACCTGTGACCAGGAATTCAAGACTATTGTATTTTTCATTTTGCTACTGTCAGGCCTGTGTGGCTGAGTGGCAGAAATCTGTACCTCAGGGCTGGAACTGAAAGTACCTGTTTAACAACAGAGATCTTATAATTTCTGTTCATATTTTCTATAACTACCTGGAAGCACATTCTCAGGTATTTTAGTATTTCCCTAAGCTCATTTAAGTAAGCCTTGCCATCCCTGAACATTTGAAACTGTGCCGTGCCTAATCCTGTTGTTTTCTGTATGTGCAACACTGGCTTTCTATTTTTAATATGAGTTTTAAAGATGATTAACACATTCTATGAAGGATGACTTTGTGCGACCTCTCTTGTGTGACAAGAAGAATAGTGGAAATTTTCTGCCCCATCAACTGTTGTTCTGAACCTGACTGGCAAACAGAATTGAATCTTTCTTCACTGAGGATAGCAGTACACTAACTAGCCTCTACTGTTGGGCTGAATAATTATTTCATTTCCTTTAGAATCAAATCATGCACTTTAAAAAAAAACCCTTTCTTGTTCTATTACCCTGGGAAGATCTCCATTACTTCTTTGGCTAGATTATGTATGGTGGTCATATTACAGACGACTAGGATGGAAGACTTTGTCGCACATACTTGGAAGAGTATGCAACCCAATCAGGTAATAAAAAGATTCAGCAACCACAGAAGTGTTTCCAGAGTTAGAGCTCCCCCTGCTGAAAGCTGACACATTTTTATATTAATCCTAATACTTTTGAGGAATATAATTTTTCTTAAACGTGTTATTTGTGATCATGTGTGTTGCTGGAACATGATTTGTTATTTCACCTTTAATTCATCTGGCTCTTCCATCCATTTTTACACTGGCCATGAAATAAGCTATTTTATAACATTATTTACCTTAAATCAGCCCTATGCCATACACATATAAAATAAAATGTTATATTATTTTACAATAAGGGTATTTGGTATATGTTGGCAATGTTTTGGACTGCTGATTACTATTTTTATAAGGATACTGCTTAGCTGCCTGTAATTTAATTGTCAAGGATAAATCTCCACAGGGTA